CCCCCCCCCCCCCCCCCCCCCAACTACCAAAATCTCGGCCCATATCTTGGCAGTCCTCCTTCCTGATTGGTTGGAAGCTGTCTGAATGTCAACACTGAAATTATGTTCTCAAACAATCACAAGGCCTTATATAGAAAGCTCTTAAATTATTGAATTGTCTAGATGGGGATTGAATCCATTTTTTCATTCTCTTGTAGCTCAAAACTTTTGCAATACTATATACAGTTTTTTTTCTGATTTTACATTGCTTCGGGAGATCAGCTAATCATTCCGGAAGGTTCTTAGAAAAACGCAACTTGATATCAAATTGATCATTGTGTATACCAATCAACAGAGTACTGTGATTGGTCAGTATACTCTCTCATACAGCATTAAATGGACACCCTTTACGGAGGAAAACAGAGACACGACCTTCAGTGCAGTGGACTATGTAACATTTAAATATATATTTTATTTAAGTCGTCAAGAAAATGAAATTCAGAGGTCTGCTGAGTCATTCTTTAAAACTGGTATTTCTTTTCCTCCAAAATCAAGGTGCATATTTAAATTTGAGTGCTCTAATTGTAATTTATTGTGTTTTGAAGCGTTGAAGAAAGACTGCTGAGATTGTAGATGTGAGTCAGCCTACTGCACCACTTTCGAGCTGCATATTTCGGGACAGGAGTTCAGGTGTTTCCTTTCAGCTGCGTGGCACGGTCGCCCGTTAGATGATCCGTCCTTTGCGTGCCAACCACGTCCCCTATAGTGAACCCCTAGGTGAAACTAGTAGTGCTGCCGTTGCTTCTTCCTCTGCACCCTTTTTGGAAATTCCTGGCTAGGACCCAAATGCTGTTTCTCGTTTACCACAGTGGACCTCAAAGGTACAACGATTTGTGAGTCGCTGAGGCATTATCATGTACCGAGATGTAAGATGGAACGCCTTGAATCTTGTGGAAACGGCACACAGATGACGGCACGTCACTTTTCGGAAGTGTATGTCATGTTGTTGGGGTGGTCAATGAACAACTATCCGGTGATATTTGCCGAAGTTGTAGCGTGATATAGGGATACCTCAGCAGGTGCCGACAATGACTGCTCTCAGAAACTGTATCGCTGTCTTAAACCACAAGCAGTTTCAGCTGCACGCATTTTCTAAAATGTCTTTGGAAAGAATGTGAATTTTCATTACCAGATAGCTGGTGGCTATTGACCAGTGTCACCCTACCCTGAGAACAACTCCGCATCCATACCTGTGCAAACATATGTTTACTCCCCATCTGCTTTCATCAGTTTTATTCATAAAAGAACAATGTTGACCCGCTACCACAATTTAGAGCTGTTATGGGATGCTTAAATTTTTGTGCGAAACAGCCTTTTTGCATCGTTGCAATATGTAAAAAAAAGAAAAACTACTATGGCTTTTAAATTTTATATTAATATTTATATAAATATTAACAGACCCTGAGGTTTGCGCTGTTGTATTAAAGATCTTCCGGGCTGCTGGATGATGTTGTTTTGTGGGCCTGCCCACCCTTGTAGATATGGTATTCTGAATACCATAAAGGAACCCTCAGCTTTGAGGAAATGAGCTGGGGGGACCTGGGGGGGGGGGGTGATGTTTTTCCGAAGCCTTTGTTCTCTCCTCCTTGCCACAAGCTGAGGTTGGTGCTAACTTATGTTTATTTAATTTTATTATTATTATGATTTTATTTTTATATATATATATTTTTTTTTTGGTACACTGGGAGTGAGGACTCCGCCTCCTCATGTGGATTTTCCACGCTTCCACGTTGTCATCACAGCGGCACTCTTCACTGCGTTCTCCTTCGGTTCCGTGGCAAATGCTTCGGTTCCGTAAGCCATTCTATAGTTCGCCGTTGTGAGAAGCGGAAGCTGCACGCTGGCCTGTACGTCACAGGAAATGGCGTGTAAAACCTGACGGGTCTCCAGCGTAGAGCTAGAGATAAAGCTCAGTCTGTCATCTCCGGTCGGTCTGTCGTCAACTCGCCTACCCCCGGCGGTCTGGCCCGGCCTCCACCTGCCGGCGGGGCGACCCTTACTGTCTTCTCTCGGCAAAGCACATGCTCGTCATTCGAATTTGCTAGCAGGGGAGCCGGAGTTATGAAAGACGTAGGGAGAGTAGAGGGCGTCTCTGGAGAAGGCTGGGGTTATCTCAGCGTGAAAGGCCTGGGAGCTTTGCCAGACGCTTCCGGGTCCAACAGAGCAGCGTGAGTGAACTCAGGTGCAGCACCTGCCTGGAGACAAGGACAGCCTCCTGTTCATATGCTCATTCCTGTTCATTTTTCTCACTGGATCTACAGACGGCTGTAATGTGGACTTTCGTGTTAATATGCTACTTCATCTGACGTCCCAGTTCCACTGCCTTTACACCAAGCACTATTAATTAAACGCCCAGAAAGGCGACTTGACAGCAACCTAAGTGAAAATAGTATTTTGACTGCTCATTTGACACAGTCCACGTATTGCTTTGAACTGGCTGCAATGCTCAGTGGAAAAATTACTAGTTGGAAGTAATTTGCGAAGCTGTGACCGCCGTGGTGATATCTCTAGCTGCCAAACCTCCTTGAGTAACTTTTAATGCTGGTCCTCATGGCAGGCCTTGTGTCAGTAGATGACTTTTCACTCTGAGGGTGTGATGTTCTGTAACCAGCCACTTGGTTGGTGTTTTATGACGTGTTTGGGCATTGGTTTTCTGGTGTGATGTTTGCCGAGGAGGATGTCCTGGTATGGGCACTACCTCCTTGTCGTTGAACAGAATACATGTTTGTGCTAAACGGTCCAATCCTGGGCATCTGTGGGCCTTATTCCCCTTCTTTGATTGGTGGGAAGTCAAGAGTGGTGTTCTGTTACCGTGCCAACGTAACACCAGACAAAGCACCGCTAGAGCGTAAGGTAGCTGGCGAGCCTGTCGTCGCCGAATGGAGCATGTTGCGGTTTTGGCCGATGAGTCATGTGGCTTGTGGTGATTTAATAACCGCCCTGCCTGCCAAAGTGCCCTGGATGGACTAAACTTAATGGGAGCTGGTGAGAGTTTTTTGGGATGAAGAAAACCACCCTGCCCAGCCTTCGTGCTGGCAGACCCGAAATGAGCCTTAAAAACAAAGCAACCATGAAAAGAGGATTATTTTAGCAATTATCTGTCCAGCTGTACCCCAAGTTAAATCACAGTGTATATCCTTCCTGACCTGAGTGTCTGGTGCTCGACAGCAGTTTCTGGATTAATTTCCTGTTGGTTGGTTGTGAAGTATCTGACACAAAGAAACTTCTAAAAAAAAAAAAAATTAAAATGATATATATATATATATATATATATATTCTGACCTTCAGCATCTCCCTTTTTGGTATCAGCCTGTGTTGATTATTTCAGTTTGTTCCTTTGTAGAGGTTATTTTTTCACAGTCCTGCTCTCTTGTGTGTGACAAATACTCAAAATGTGCTCTGCTCAGAGTCAAGGTCTTCAAAGTTAATGTGGCGGTGTGGTTTGGTATGTTTAGTCCGGAGATATATGAAATGTGCAATATACGCTTCTCAGAGGGGTCAAAGGTCGCAGCTGGAAAACTCCAGGTTGTTTGTTTGTTTGTTTTTTTTTTCCTCGGATTCTTTCGGCTCACTGACCGCCTTCCCGCTCCTGTGTTCTGGGGTAACTGGGAATCTCGGGCCATTCCAGTGCACCCTGATTTGTGATGCTGACTTCCATTTGTTGACCTTTTTTTTTTTTGTTTGTTTTTCTTGTATTTCCGCAGGTTTTTTGTGCCACAACGAGAGGGCGGGTTTTTTTCGTTACATCTTAGGCACTTATTGAAAGTGTCCTTTTCATTAATGGTTCTTGTATTTATTGCACATGCGATAAAAAGAAATTTTGTTTTGTTCCCCCCCCCCCTCTGTTTTTTTTCCCCCTGTGTATGATATTTTGAGTCCAGGCTGAGTCGATTTAGGGCTGTGCTGTTTATTTCCCCAAGATAAACAAGGAAGCATTTCGTTGAAAAATTTCAAGAGTGTGTATTTCAGTAATAAATGCCTTTGAAGAAGTCCAGTGTGCCTCAGTGTCACATCTTCATCAGATATGATTCGTCACTTTATTTTTCCGACTTTGTTGCTCTTCATCCATCACTGGAAAGCACAGTGATTCCATTCACTCCCTTATTTTATGGAGTACAAGAACTGCACTATGAAACCCAGGGAGGGAAGTAACACAATTTAACCCTTTAAAATAAGCAAGCTTTGTGCATACATGTGCTTGTTTGATAAAAATAGGAAAATCTTTAAATAGTAATCTTTTCCCCATCATAATGGCTGTGTTTCAGCTAATTAAAATTTGGGTAAAAATATGTCAGTACCAAGTACTGAATTCTTTCACGTAGCATCCCTTTCTGAGAGAGAACAGTGTGCCTGCCTTGAGACTTCACCTGGAAGTTGGGGTCTTTACAGGGGCGGAGCTACAAGGGCACTGGCCAAATCTGAAAGCTGATTGGCCCCCGGAGTCCCCGCCTCCCAGGTCACTCACTGACTTTAAACATATCGTTAGCTAATGATAAGGTTTCCACTGTGTGTAAACACACCCTATGTAAAAAAAAAAAAAAAAAAAATAATTAAAAATCCCAGAATCCCCCTTGCCGGGCAGCCTTGCCATGGCCTCAGAGCCTGTGTTTCTTGGAGATGTATGCGTAACAGTTGGCTTGATTCTGCAGGACCTACGAAAGGCTGACGCGTTACCGAATTAGCAGTCCAATTGGAAACATCGCACCTTTCTTTGCTGAAGCCATCCAGCGAACGCATGCAGATAAGCGGCTGTGCAATTTCCTACCGTCACCTCCCAAAGTTACGGAATAAATTAGAAATCAATTTTCATCAAAAGCAAATTGCAATTGAATCCCCATCA